GACCTACCAGGAAATCTGGACCTCCCTAGGTTCTGCTATGCCAGAACCAGAGAGCTTGAGAGCATTTGATTCCGATGGAGATGGAAGATACTCATTCCTCGAGCTAAGGGTAGCTTTAGGTATCTAGCCTCATCAGGCATATTTTAGAAATGGACTGCCTAATATCTACTTACCTAACAACAAAACAACCCTTACTTACCCATCAGTCCTCTAGTCCTCCAAACTACTGTAGCAGATACTTTGCCACCTTTTAACTTGTTTGAAGAAGCTATATAAAAGTTATTTTTTTAAAGAAGAAGACCATTTTACTTACGATGTTCAGAAATCTATGATTTCCTAAAACTAGTAAGATCTTACATTTTAAAATTGCCAGAAAAAAAAATTAAAGCCCTCTTTTTTTCTCTTTCCTTTTTTTGAGGGGAGGAGACCTTATCTTTTAAAGCTGGGAAATGTATATAGAGAGAGAATAAGCCACCTTTTATATTTCACTTAAATTTGCCTTAAATTAGCTGCACTTTATAGAGACTCAGAAAATGTCTTTTCTTTAAAAGATAGGCCTTTTCTGTGTGTAAATACTTAAATGAAAGAAAGCATTGTGCATATTGTGTGGAAAGTAGGAAGAATGGTTTTGAACAGGATGTGAACAAATGACTTATTAAAAATTGCTGATCTGGTGTGGGTGGCAGCTGAAACTGCATCCATGTCTCCATAAGGCATCTCTCAAAGGCCCAGGCGCTGCCAGGGGGTTTGTCCTGGTAGCTGGAGGAACCGGTTTCAGGGAGTAGACACTGGAGACAGTACTGACTCCAGGCATGGCTCATGGAAGTAGGATTCTGGTTCTTTGTTCCTATTCCCTCAGCTAAACCTAACCTGGGAATCAGAGAGGTCTTGGGGATTTTTCTCATTTTTAGCACTATTTCAGGGTTTATGAGCATAAAAAGTTATCCACTGGGGAGCTCCATTTTCCCCGCTGAGTGAGCTAGATTGCCTTCCCCCACCCACCCACTTAAGTCTGTCTTAAAGCCGTAGCTGGCTCCCACCACCAGTACAATCTCCATTCTGAATGGCAGGGCTAAATTCCCCAGCCACTGTCTCACACTGACCACCCAGAGCTTTAGAAGAGAGCTGTGCTTCTACTTTTGACCCAGAAAACCATACCCCTTGAGATTTTACCTAGAGGCTAATCAAGAGCCTGATATGTTTCTCTGGGGGATGACTAAAGCCAAAAAGGTTGTGAGATGAAACATGTGAAATAATATTCCGTTTCCTTACAATTATCAGCTCAGAAGTAGCTAGAGGCTTTCTATCCAAAGGATGCCAAAGTATAGCAGGGCAGGCCTGGAGCTGGAGCCTTCACATGGTGGTAGCAAGTTTTTCAAATCTAATACAAGCAAGTACAATACTTCCTATTAATGCTTCTGTGGACCTGGCATGAAAGATCCCTAGATTGAAAGAAATAATACCTCCATGTCTCCTGTATGTTGAGTCTAGAATTGCTGTGGTGTTCTTAGAAGCAGTCTTGGGGCAACAACTCAAAAGGAAAAAAAACCGAAAACTTAACATTGCTATAGGCCAAGTCAGGGAGAAAGTAGAGAAGCTTTCATGCCACAGACTTCTTTAGTGGAGGTCATTTCCTTTTTAATTTTGTTCAGGTTGCCCTTCAGCCATGGATACAGTCCGGTACCCTTAAACATTTAAGGGCTGTTTTTTTCTTTACATGATGTTCAGCTTGGTGTTGACTAACCTTAAATTTTTTTTCTAGAAGTATTAAAATTTAGTTAAAGCAAAATGAAGTCTTTTCCCATGAATGTGTCCCCTTATCTCATTATAGCTTATGCTCAGTTTCACTTTCTTGGAAAGGTTAAAACAAATTAGCCTGGCACTTTAGGTAACTTGAAAATAACTCTCACCCTTCTGGCTGCCTTCCATCCACTCTCACCCTCCACCTTTTTTTAATATATATACACCCTTACACATTTTCTAACAACCAAATAAAATTCTAGCAATAAATTGAATTATACTGCTATATTTGTATATACTGTACCATAAATAGTATGTCTGTACCTGGAAGGTATTTTTTTGAAAACTGATTTATATGAAATATACTTGAGGGTAATGTAGCTTGTCCTTTTTAGTTTCAGATTCTTATTCATAGGCAGATACTTTGAAGACACCTTAACTCTTTGTTGTGTATACTTTTCCCTTGCATCAGATAGCTGTATGTGGAGAAATCCATTTTGTTTTTTGATTTATCTTCTGTTCTTCCTACCTTGTGCTTGTCTGACTAGTATCATCCCTGAGCCAGTATATAGTACCATCCGCTCCCCCTACCAAGTTTGGCAGAGGTGTTTATGCTGCATTCTCAGATCTATGAATATTTTTGTCATCCTGCCTGAGAAAGTACTATATCTTCCAGGCAAAAGTAGGGTATCTTGAACTCCTGAGTTGAGCAGACTCACTGGCTTAAGCGTCCCATAAGCCTATTATTTAGTGTGAATTTGGTACTTTTATTTGTATGTTGTCTTAACTTACTGAGCCTGTGACTTGTATTCAGCTGTAGTCAAGCCTCACCAGCCATATCTCATCTCTGAGAGGAAGATTGGATAGTGAATTTGGTTTGGGTTTTGGTTTTAAATCCTTTTACCTTTTCAGTCTGGCAGCTCCTACTGCTGCTTTCCTAAGTTACTCACTGCTTCTTGGTCCTTGTTTTCTTTTGCCTTGTACTATCTCGTATAATGTTTACTAAAAGAGCCTCCCCATAAATCACAGAGGCAAAAAGGTAGCATAGAAAAAGAAGAACCAAAAGAAGAGAATACCTGACTTCGAGATGACTGTGGTGTCATCTAAAAGGCAGAGAGGTGCCTGACCCTCAGGAAGGTGTGTGATGCAACAGAGCTGAAGAGTGGGTTCCCGTCACCTACTGCTGGCCATTGTCCCTTCTGTTGGAGATTCCTTTCTTTATGGTTGCTGTTCATAACCCCTTCAACACCACCACTTGCTGGTCCTGCCGGTCACAGTTGAGGATTTTGGCTGTGATGGGCTCATACTTATAATGGCCTGTTGAGTTGTTTTTAGTGACAGGTTTTGTTTGCTGCACACCTCATTGGCTTGCTTACCAGCACCAGCTAGATGTGGTCCCTCTTTCATATCCAAACCGGAACACATTTGGGTATTCCTGAGACTTTATAGAGCGTGTATTGTTTGTTATACGAACCTAACCTACCTTGTTGTTTTCTCATATTAAGAAATTTAAATCTACTTTGTTTTAGTGGAGCTATTTTGGTAACATATAAGCAATTTTGGTTCTGTTTAGGGAGAATTCAGGGTTTCCATGACTTGATTTGAGCTTTGCATATTTCATATAAGTAACACAGCCATTTTAATTTAGCTAAATAAAAAAATTTCTTTTTCTCTCAATGTGTCTTGACTAAAGCCTCTCTCACTCCCCTGCGATTTCTAAGGGAAAAAAAAATCTGCTTTGATTTCTATTTTTATGGACGCCTTACGCCTTTCGAAAGCAAGGAGTAACACATGGTGGGCCCAAAGTAATTAAGAATCTGCCTTAAGGACTGTGATATTTGGCCTGAAGAAGCAAAGGCCGCAAGGTTCAGGCGTTATGCATCCAGAGGATGGGAGGGGCAAGGTGAGGCAGGAGTGAGCCCTGCCTCTGTGTCTACCCAAGATGCTCCACTTAGGCCTGTTTTATATTTTGAGAATCAATATAAAAGCGTGTTTGCCATAAATGTTCCACCACCTTTAAAAAAAAAAAAAAATAGCTTAAAATCTGTTGCTAAAGAGGGGTCATACAGGAGCTAAAGCTTTTTCACACACAGAAAAAAAATAAATTAACTCTACATGTTTGTTTGCTAGATTCTGGATACCTCCTCCCCTTCCCCGCACACAGAATCTGGTGACCTTCCCCCTTAGTCATTATGTAAATGACTATACATAAAGCTTTTATTACTTACAAATATAATGAAAGGATTTGTTCATTTCCAAAAGGAAAGGGAGAAACACATATCCTGTGATAGAGCTGGGCTTTCTTACCTCAAAACTGGAGCCAAATGGCCAGTATTATCTTTGTCTCACCTTTTAGAACCATTTCCAGAAGTACAAACATTATTAATATTCCCATGTGATGGATCTTAATTTTTGGGAGGGGGACATGGATTCTTGTAGGAAAGGTAAAAACTATGGACATATGTCTACTTATAATGTTAGGCAGTTCACTGACCAGCCCTTCCTCCAAGCCAATTCATGGACCAACTTAATGACACCCTACGTACAATCCAAAGCATTCACCAAGCATTTTCTAACACAACATGTCATTAGGGAAGGAGTACTATGGTGTATGGTGGGAAGATCAGTACCTTTGATGATCAGTGACTTTCATACCAGTAACTTTGATGAAAGGCAGATGTAGATTTGAGAACTGGCTCTGCAACTAAGAAAGGTATGGCATATGCCCTTGGAACCTGTCTCTTATCCATAAGAGGAGGATCATGATATCCATTTGGCAGTGTTCTTGTGAATTGTTAGAAATAATGTACAGAGGCAACCACGTAAGAGCTACATACATCATAGATAATAACAAAGAATGTATTTCATCCCGTAGTGCAGTGTGGCTCACAGGGCTCATGATGACTCGTTTTGCCTGTGCCATAGCCACTGTAAATCACCATAGCTCACACCCTCAGCAGCTATCACTCTTGTGGCAACTGTGCTTCACATCCCACAGAACACCAGTGCCTTGGGGTACCCAGGCCAGGGCCTGGCACACGTTTTTGTTTTAAATACTGAACAGAGGGATATTGAGTCCATCCACAAGTACTGGTTCAGTGCGTCTCCCCACAGCCAACCTCCAGTGCCAGTTCATATTGGTGAGACTCAGCAACCAACTTGGTTTGCAAAGTGACCCCATCAGACAGGAAGGACATTGCCTTCCTAACAGCAAATGAGACACGAGGGAGCCTTGGACTTTTTTTTTTTTTTTTTTTTTTTTTTTTTATTTCATAGCATGACATCCAGGTGGGTCCTGACCTCTGTCAATACCGCCTTCTTGAGGTTAGTTCCATTTCCTACTCTGCACCTGATTCCTGCAGCTCCCACCCTCAGTGAGAGGAGGCTACAATTCTGAAGCAAAAGGCTTGGCATTGAAGCTGTGGTCTTCATGGGCCAGATTCGGGAGGGAATGGAAGAGAACATTCCTTTCAGGACAGGTGGCTGAAGGATAGGAGACAGAGTGGTTCAGCAGCGGGGGTAGGTTGCACAAGGGTGGGGCAAAGGGCACCTCCTGAAAGATGGGAAGTGGAAATGGGGAGCTGGCCTGGGGCTGCTGTGGAGCCCCCTGCAGTGCAGGTTGCAGGGGAGCGGGGTCTTCCGCCTTGGGGTTACTGACTTGGTCAGCATAGCTCCTGCCTTCAGGGATGTCCAACTCCCACAGAACATCTGGATTCTGGACCTCAGTCTCAGTCTTGGTGACAGCAGGGGGAGGGCCCGTGTTGATGGCTGCATTCATGCCGTAGCGCCGTCGCTTATTAATCCAGTACAACAGTGGGCTGTAGGTGAACGTGGCAGCTCTCATCACCTCCACCCACTGCTGGGCACGCTCTTCCCGCCTCAAGTTCTTCCTCCAGTGCAGAAAGATAATGCACCCTCCAGTTATCACAGAACACAGCCCCAGGAATCCGAAGTACAATGAGACCCACACTAAGGCAACAAGAAAGAAAAAGAGGCATGCTGGCTGATAGCTGTAGCTTGGGGCCTGAACTGTTTCTCATTCCTCTTTCACTTAACCCATTCATCAATCACTCCATCCACTTAACTACTCTCACCATTCCTTCCCTCCCTCGTTGACTTGCCTCATCATTCTCTTATTCAGTCAAAGCTAGATTTCCAGGAAGCTTAAGCACCACCTTTAACTCTTTACAGATCAGAAAAGCTATGTCTAGAGGGGCCATGTGCTGCCCAGGCTCAGTCAAGCCTCTGATTCCTAACCCAGGACCCATCCAATCCATCAGACTGAGAAGTTTCACTATGGGCAAGTCCGTCAAGAAGTAAAAGTTCACCAGCACTTTGTAAGGCCCAGGTGGGCAGATCACCTGAGATCAGGAGTTTGAGTCCAGCCTGGCCAACATGGTGAAACCCCATCTCTACTAAAAATTTTAAAAATAGCCAGGTGTGGTGGTGCACGCCTGCAGTCCCAGCTACTTGAGAGGCTGAAGCAGGAGAATAACTTGAATCCAGGAGGTGGAGGTTGCAGTGAGCCTAGATTGCACCACTGTACTCCAGCCTGGGCAACAGAGCAAAACTTCATCTCAAAAAAAAAAAAACAAAAGTGAAAGTTCATCAGTTGACAGAGCCACCAATGTCCCATCCCACTCCATTCAGCTGTGATGGTCCTGGGCTATTGATAGTATCTTCTCTGGTTGATCAGAGCATGGTCTTTGCCTTAAAAGAATCCTTAGTTTTCTAGAGTAGACTATCTCCTAACTGCTTAGCTCTCTTCCATGCAGCCAGGCACTGTCCCATCCATGCAAAGTGTTTGTCCCCAAGCCCTAAGGCACAAGTCCAGTGACAGGGACTGGAGGAGCACTTACTCCCAGGGAAGCGCAGGTCCTCCTGTTGGGAATCCATATGGTTGAGCTTTGGTACCTGGCCGATGGCTCTGGGGAGAGGGAACTCACCCACCCATCTGCCCAGCCAGTCAGCCTATCTGCCCAGCCAATCAGAGTCTCCAGAATACCCAGGCCCTTTGTTCTCTAAAGGAGAGGTCACTGGGTTCTGAGCATTGGGCATTCTAGGGGTAGTGCTTGTGAAGTGGTCCTGGGTTAATGGAAGGAGGGGACATCATCCAGTGGCATTTTTTGGGTGGAGTGTCTCTACTACTTCTATCAGAGACTGGTTCACCTATTGAATTGTCTGCCCCTACCCCTTATGGTGAACCCACAGAGCAGACCCCAGGAAAGGGCCATCATCCCTCAGGGATTTACTGATGTTGCTGATCTTTAGGGAACAGTTGATGGGATACCTGACCCCAGTGAGGAATGTAACAAGGAACACACAGCATTGGGCAGCCCTGTTCTCAAAAAGTATCTAACCAAGTTGCAGGAAAAAAACTGCTCAAGGGAACCAAGTGGTCAATACCTCCTTCTTTGGCTCCAACAAACTGTCTTTTATTTAGTTACCTTCCTTCAAGTGCTGACAAGTGTTTCCCAGGCACCAGGCCCTGTGAGGCTCCCCACCATCTGGCCTGCATCTCCTGCTAGCCTTACTTCCCTCCTCATCCTCCACACACCTTTCCCTTCTGCCTAGTCCATACTCCTGAACAGACCCTGCTCATTCACATCTCTGGAGGTGTACTCACGCTGCTCCTTCACCCAGGAGTGCCCCTGCCCACTTTCCCACCACTGAACACCTACTCATCCTTCAGGACTCAGCTCAGCTCCCCTACTCTGTGACAAACTGCCCAGAATCATATCATCTCCCATTTGAAGGAACTTTGAGAGTTGTCTAGTTCATCTCACACCATCTGGTCCTACCATCAGGACCATGCTTGACTCCTGGGGGTAGATTTTTCCCTACACAGCAACTAATCCCCTTGGACTCAGTACTCACTTGAGTCAGGAACTTGCTCACCACCTCCTGAAGCAGCTTGATGCATTTATGGGCAGCTCAGTTAGAAAGCCCTTCCCTAATTAAGCTTAAGTCAGCCTTCCCAGTAGGTTGCACCACTGCTTGTAGCTCAGCTTCTTGGCACCATTTTAATGACTCCCCTCTTTATAGTCCTCCAGTGTGTGACTTAGGGAACTATTCAGCACAGAATTCTCTCCAGGGTCCACTTACCCTTGCTCTCCTCCTATATCACTGGCCCCTACTTTCCATTCTCCTTTGCTGGTTTCCCCCTTTTCCCCTGATCGCTAAATATAGGCATGTCTAGGGCTCAGTTCTTAGTGCTCTATCTACATTCATTCCATCAGTTATCTCACCCAGACCCCTGGCTTTAAATATCACTATACACTGACAGCATACAACTGTATCTCTCCAGCCTGGAATGCTCCTCAGAACTTTTAGACTCATACCCAAATACCTGGTTGACATCCCTCCTTGCCAGTCTGTTAAATTATCCCAAACCAGTATGTCCAAAACCAAACTCTGATTATCCATCCTCCAAAGTCTACTTTACCTGCAGCCTTCCTCCTCTTCATAAGTAGCATCTCTGTCCTTCCAGTTGTTCAGGCCAAAAACCTGCAAGTCATCCTTGACTCCTCTCATTCTGTCACACCCACACTGACTCCACCAGCAAGATCTGTAGGCTTTTATTTCAAAATACAACCAAAATCTGGCCACTTTTTTCTCTCTGTTACTTTAGTCCAAGTACCACCATCTCTCACTTAGATTACTGTTCTCCCTGTAGGGTGACCAACATCCTGGTTTGCCCAAGACTGGGGTGGTTCTCAGGACATGGGGCTTTCAATGCTAGAGCCAAGAAAGTCCTAGGCAAACTAGGACAAATTAGTCACCCTTGGGAGAGTTTCCATCCTTGCCTCCACATACCCTAAATTCCACCAGCAGCCAGCATGATCCTTTTAAAAAGGATCATGTTGCTCCACTGCTTAAAACATATAGTAACTTCCGATCTCATTAGATTTAAAATCAAAGTCCTTAACCAAGGTATGAGCAATCTAACTAACCCTCCCTATACCTTCTTGGTCTCATTTCTACCGCTGTGCCCTCACTCATTCAGACTCAATAACCTCCTCATCAGGGCCTTTGCACTTGCTGTTCCTCTACCTGGAAGGCTTCTCCCCCAGCATTCCCACATTACTTTCAGGTTTCTGCTCAAGTGTCCCCTTATCTCTCTCTCTCTTAGCCTGCTGTTTTTCAGCACAGCATGTAGCATCACCTAACATTATATGTTTATTTATTGTCTGTTTCACTCCTCCAGAATGTAAGCTCAATGAATTAATATAAACAAGGATCTAAGAACTTCAGATAATGATAACTGCTATAAAGAGAATGAAACAGAGCAATGGGATAAAGACTATAAAGAGATGGGGGGTTTGTCATTTAGGTCCCTTGAAGGTGCTTACATGTGAACTGAGCCCTTAGATGATGAGGAGGCAGCCACATGCAAATCCACAGAGAAAACAGCAAGTGTGAGGAGTGTGAGCCAGGTATGGGCTGGCATACTTGAAGGACTTACTCATTTTCCATTACACTGTTCGTCGCACAGGGCAGGGCTCAGGGCTGATCTCCATGAGCATAGGTTGGATTGAGCAGAGTTGAAGGCTCTGCCCTTGTCCCAGGAAGGGTTTCAACCCGACAAAACCCAGACAAGAAGGACCTGATGATGAGTACTGTCCCAGAGAGCCCACTCCAGGACTGGCCCCGTCCTGTGAGCAGGTGGGACACAGAGATGTTGATGTCACTATCCCTGACCCCAGGACCTCGCACCTGGTTCACACGGTAAGGAAGATTGTGGCATTTGGGTTGAGAGAATGGAAAGAGAGAGGATTCCAGGGGTCAAAAAGGGCCTGAATAAGGACTCTTCAAGGAGTAATCCTGGTGTTTCTTTGGGAGAGAATAGGTCAGTGTGGCTGGAGTTCAAGGAGGATGTCAGGAAGCAGAGGAAAAGGAGGCTTAGGAGGCAGCTGTCATCTTGAAAAGAGCTCAGCTCTCGGGTAGAACTTGAACAAGTCACATAATTACTCTCGGCCTCGGTTTCCTGATTTGTTAGATGAAGATAATACCTGCCACACAGAGTATGAAGCCGATCAGTGTCCTGCACATAGCAACCTCAGTAAAGAGAAGCTTGCTGCTGTGATTATAGTTGATGAAGGACTTTCGATGCTGAAGGACGGACTACTACAGCGAGTACCTGGCACTACAGCAAGTGCCAGGGGCAAGCACCGCGAGGACCTGGAGGTCCGCTGGCTTTAGAGAGAGGACTTGGCGCGCAGAGGCTGCTGGTCCCAGAGGGAGGAAGGGCGTTGAATTTGGGCAGCCTCCCTGGAGGAGGCGGGCCGTGGCTTACACAGGGCGGCGAGAGCGCGCAGTGCCGGGGC